CCTTAGTTTGCTTATAATGTATTTTGGATTTAAAGTTTAATTAGTACAAGACTAATATTACTTTGTTATGGATTTTATGTCATACTTTGATTTACAATAGAAATTTGAATTGTAAATTTTTGAAGTATACACTGTTATTTTTGTTATTGGAAATATAATTTCTACGTCCACATTATGAGTATTCTTTTATTACATTTTTTTATAGATATCATAAGAAAATGAGAAATTGTAATACATGTAAATTATGAAATTAAAATAAGTATAAAAAATTGTCATATACAAGAAAATAGGGAGAATTAGAAACTCGAAATATATAATTTAAAATTAATAATATAATATAAAAGTTATTAAAACTGCACATATCACAAACAAATACCTTAGGAATAAGTGGTCATTATTATGTTTGATAAGGTTCTTTGTTTTTTTCATGAGTAGGATTTAATTCCTATTGTTATTTTTGTAGTTTGTGGTTCCTTCAAATTTTTTTGGTGGTTGAAGCGATTTGACCCACCAGTTCACTAGTCAAACCAAAAATTAACTAGTTCATTTCGGTTTAAAATGGGTCAAATGCATAATCGATCAAACTCAAGACTTGGACCGGCTTAATTTGAGCCAATTTTAAAAATTGTACCTATATCGACTAGTAAAATAAATTTAATAATATATATAAATGAAGAACAATTTTTACTTTACAAACCAATTCTTATATAATATGGACTCATCCATGTAAAATTGATGTTGGCCTTATCCATAGATGGTTTGAGATCTATAACAAAATTTATCAATAAAGATATTATGTTTTGTTTCTTCTATTAATAATTGTAAATAATATAATAATATATGGACTCATGTTGGTCTTTTATTTTAATTTTAAATTTTATTTTAGTTTTTTATCTTCTAAATTTGACACAATTTATATCTTTCAAAAACATGAATTATTTTTTATTTTGAAAACTAATTATAATCATTTTTTTACTAACATATGATGTGAAAATTATCTCATTATATTTATTTATATGAAAATTATTATATCTAATTAATGTTTGAACAAAAAAATATTATAAATATAGTAAAAATTATGTCACATGAGTGATTAGAAGAGAATTGATATTAGATTTTTTTTATTAATTTTGTGATTATTTGTTGGACTTGGTTTGGTTCAGAGTGAAATAAAGTCTTAATCAGTCAATTTTGTTTAGTTTGATTTGAATCAGATTTATCATAAAAACATTGTAATCCAAACCAAATCAATCAACAATGGATTTGTTTGGTTCAAATTAATTGACTTTTTTGAAGAGAAAAATAAGAGATATTTATTTTTTTAAAACAAAAATATATTATTTTATACCATAATTTAAAAGAAAAGATATTAAAATAGTGTAAATATAATCCAAGCGTGAATAAAAAACTAATATAAGAAATATGAAAATAGAGTAGTCAAACATTGTGTAACATTTGAAATTAAAATATTCTAACATTTAAAATAAGGTAATCCCTCAAACATAATTAAATTGTCTAAGTTGCAACTATTATTTAAGTAGTCTCATGCATTCTAATAAAATCATTTGTTTTACTAATAAAATCACAATATTATAAAATAATATTAAGATAATAATTATTATAATAAAGTATAATAACAATAACAATAATAATAATAATAATATTTTTAATTGATTTGGTTGATGGATCATCAAATTTGTATAATGCAAATATATAATCCAAACCAATTAAGATAAAATATAATTGGGTTGGATCGGAATTAATTCAATAAAAAAATAAAATTGAAATAACTTAATTAGTTTAGTTCGAAACATCAATTTTAACTGATTGTCCCAACCAATGAACATCTCTATTCATTATGTTTATGCATATTCTTTTTTTGAATATCAATGAGATTCAATCATTTTTATATAAATAAATTCAATAAGACAAATTTTATATTTCAAATAACAAAATTATAAACAAAATAAAAAGCAATCACTTAGAACTCATAAAGATCAAATTTTTTTATACATCAAAATTTACTTTAAAAAATTAAGAGTAAATTAGATTTTGAGACAGACTCCTTAATAATTTGAAAAGCATTATTATAAGAGAAAGGTTCATGTAATTGTTAAAATATCATGAAATTGGACACAAATTCTGTCAGTGTAATTTATTAAAATATAATTTTATTTAAATAATATATATATATATATATATATATATATATACACATATT